GGACAGGAAGGGACAGGAAGGGACAGGGAGAGACAGGGAGAGACAGGAAGAGACAGGAAGAGACAGGAAGAGACAGGGAGAGACAGGAAGAGACAGGAAGGGACAGGAAGGGACAGGAAGAGACAGGAATAGACAGGAAGGGACAGGAAGAGACAGGAAGAGACAGGAAGAGACAGAAAGGTCCAGGTTGAAGAAAAAACAGATTCGATGAAAAGTGGAGAAAAGAGAATCGAAAAGAAGTGAGGGAACAAGAAAAGAAGGGGTGAGAGAGAAGGAACAATTTCAGCACGGCTGAGAGGAGATGCAAAATACTACAGTAAGGGAGAGAAGGTTGTGAAGAAACATGAAAAGAATTGTAAATATGTTTAGAGTATTGAGGAGAGATGTGACGAAATGATCAAAGAAGAGAAGAGTAGCTATGATACAGATGGATAATTCATGTGTTCACCTTAATTCTCTTAAAAACTCTGAACCTGTTTTTGAAAGAGAGGAGAGGATGTGGGTGGGAAATATGAAATGTGAACTCCAACACCAAAGGGGAAAGGAGAGGAGGGGAGAGGAGACATTTGAAACTATTTGATAAACTTCAGGTATGAATGAATCAGTCTCTATGCAGGTGGATTTGAGGTTTTCTGTCAGAAAGGCAACAAGTGGTTCAGATAGGTAACATGGTCTCTCGGCCTATGACTCTCTCCGCCTTATGTTCTCTCCCCACTGCTGTGCTAACACCAAAGATTTTGTATCTCATTGTGAATCTGTGCAGATTTGTAAAGATGCAGATGACACAACAGCATGATAAGGAACGGTGAGGTGGGACCTTAGTGGAGCTGTACAGAGAGAGCAATCCGATTTTAAATGTCGCCAAGAACAAATAATTCATAATGGACTCAGGGAGGGGTGATGGGGCTCTGCCCCCATTGGTCATCAATGACGGAGGTATGTGACATCTCGTTTCCAGTTGAGCTTCGCCCAGTTAGAACACAAATATAGAAAACAAAAATGAAAATGTTTTTGTAGGATGCATTGGTCACAGCGAGAAGCTATCATCTCCTGTACTTGTGTATTTACATGTTGACTCAACACGTTTGTGTTCTTGTTAAACACAAGCTAAAGAGACGTCCTGTAACACTGCATGACAAGAACTGGTTGTTAATGAATGGGTATTTATACCTTCATATTGTTTCATGACTACTGGTTTATTCATTATTAATAGCAGTGCTATGGAGCTGTGCTACTATGAATGTCTGTCACACAGGAGACACAATGTACAGTCCTGCTCATGGTTTCACATTGTTCACCTGATAGACAGCTGAAACACAGCGATGCGTCAACAAAGACAGAAGAGTGCTATTCGCTTTGCAAATGGTTTATAAGGAAATGCATTCAACACACTTGTTAGAACTTAAAGACACACAATGACTTTCAGCGAGTTACACTGAAACGTTTGTATATTTACAATAGAACTCCACTGAGTAGGGTTAAAGGAGTAGTTTGGGTTGTACGAGGTATTCTCCATAGTCAGCGTATTACCGACAGTAGATGGAGTTTGGAGAAACAGACAGATGTAAACAGGAGCAAAGCCATGTACTGCTGTGGATGGAAACCAGGTGTACGCTACATTTAGAATATTTTCAATATACTGTATTTGGAGGACAGAATTGTCCTGAGCTGTTTTGGAGCACTCATTTGCATTATCTTTGGAGAGAACATTCACAAAGACAGACAGTTTGCTTCTGGTGTGAAGCCGGTCCAATGAACTGCAGCACAGAGCGGTCTGAAGGGGATCCCAGCATGCACAGCAGGCTACAGGGCTGGCACATGCAAGTCTTATGACTTTATTCTCATTAAATTACAACTTGAAGTAGTAATATTAAGAGAACAGTGGTAATATCTGTTATTGATTGAATGGAGAATGTCTGACAACCTTACTGCATTATATTTTCACTTTCACTTGTGGCCTGAATTTTGTGTTTTCCTTTGTGTTCGGACCTTTTCCACCATAAATTGATGCAGAAACATTTGCCAGAATGCAGGACCACCAATGTCTAAAATACATTGTGCTATTTATTATTTATTATTATTTATTGCGACAGCCATCTACTGTAGTAATACACTGACTATGGATAAGTAGCTCACATCCACACTGCAAACAATCCAAACTATCCCTTTAAGATGGTGCTGATGACACTAGTCGTGTTTTCATTCAATTGTCAAAGTTTCATCAAATGTTGTCGTTTCCATACAGCTTTCCTAATGTCATACTTCAAAATGTTCATAAAAATAAGTGAATGGAACACGGCTGCTGTTGTTATGACGTCAAAGGTTTCATACAAAAAGTTCACCTGCTAGATTCAAACAAAAAAACCCGTTATGTTCATCCTATATTTCATCACTCGACATTCATTAAATGATTATATTCATCTGAACATTTGTCTTTCTGTTGTTTTTTTTTTACACAAAAGAGCCTTAAATGTTTTTGAAAGGATGACAAAAAAAATAAATATAAATCAAAATGTTTAATTGAGACTATTCCAAAATACAGAACATGCAACAAATACAAATCAAATTACCATCAACAGCAACAGTTCTAAATACAGCTACGTGTAAACAGGATGCACTCACTGTCCTCATGTTCATTCTTTTATTCAAAATAAAAAATGAAGTTTCCAAATGCTGATTTGGCCACGCCCCCTTATTTACTGCTAATAACCCATCACGCTTTCATTACAGCAGCCGATTTAACCATCAAAACGATTTATCCTAAACATTACATTCCCATACAACTAAACTGCATTTTCAACCACATTTGAAGGGATTTCATTTTTGATGCATCACACATGATTCTGCATAAGAAGGTTAGGGTTAGACAAACAGGACCTTCACCCAGGAGGCCGCTGTGTGTGTCCTTTGTGAAACCAAGTCAGCATTGACTTATTTAATTTATGTCTGTAACTTCAATAACATCACATACTAGCTATTTCATGCCAAACCATGATGTTTTACTACATTAATCAAGTCATTTTGTTGTCTTTTTGTTTTGTTTTAATTTACATTAACCGCATGTTTAAAACTGCGACCGTAATCCGGGAGAAGATACTGACGGAGCTGAGACAGAAGAGGCTTCTTAACGTTAGCCGAATGAAACCTGTCACTACAGCTAGCTAATTAAGCTAACGTTGGCTCCATGTCTCCTGCTGACTTGTTGAATGTTTCCAGTAGACTTCTTTTAAAAGGAGAATCATAAAAGGGTCTTTTTTAAAACATTGAATCCAAATGTGGCCGGCCAATGAAATACTCCTCAGCCTTGGATATCACTGTGTGGTATGCTAACATCAGAACATCAACCAACAGTGTAATCCATGGTTCACTGTTGGATGTGGTAACACATTTCCAACCACACCCATGGGAGAAGTTGGGTGTGGGTCAGAGGTAAAGCAGGCTTTCAACTTCCAACCAGAGAAGTCTGCAAAACACTGCTTTTGTTCAGTTAGTATTCATGAGGTTCAGGTTTGGTGACTCTGGACTGGACTAAAAACAGTAAAGTCAGCACATTTGAATAGACAACAGGAGGAGTTGTTGTTGTTGTTTTTTTACATAAGATGAACTCTGCTGTCTGTATTATTCTGAGACAGTGATGTGCTCAGTTGTCCTCTCGCCCGGAGTTCTTCCTGTAGTTCATACGCTTAGTCTTCTTGAAGGGGGTAAAGGCTGGGTTGGCCTCTTCCATCTTCTCCTTCTCCTCCTCCTTCTCCTCTTCTTCCTCCTCCTCCTTCTCTTCCTCCTTTTCCTCATATTTTTCTTTCTGCACCCGTTTCTTCTCCTCTGGCGGACCCACGGCTCCCTTCGTATCTTTTTCTTCATCTCTCGCCCTTTCCTCAGCTTTCTCAACACTCTGATCGGTTCTCCTTCCTCCAGCCATCTCTTTCTCCCTGCCCCCCTCCTCCCCCTCCTCCTCCTCCTCCCCCTCCTCCTCCTCCTCCTCCTCCTCCTCCAGATGACTGAGGCGTGTCGCCTTCTTTTTGCCTCCAACAGCTGACGGCTGATCAGCAGGTTGCTCCTTTGGCAGCGCACTGGGTCTGGAGAAGACCATCTTCCGTTGGATGTTACAGGAGGTATCGCTCTTGCTCTCCTGCTGCTCCTTCCTCTGCTGCAGACTGGACAGGAAGTGGTGAGCTGCCCTCCTGTTGTCCCGATCGCTAGTCTCTTCCACATCTTCTAGATTGTAGTGGGTCCATCGCTCAGGGTGCACCAGGTAGTCCGGGACTCCTCTCTTCTTTGCTGGTGTGGGGCAGCTGGATGTAGGCTGGCTCATCTTCCTCCTGGAACGTGGAGGCAGAGGCCGAGTAAACACTCCATCTGTGACGTGATCCTGGGTCAGAGAGGAGGAGGCCAGCCGGGCGACACTGTCCAGGCATTCAAAGATACTGTGGCTGCGATTTGAGAAAGCTGAGCCCCCTCCTCTCAGACTGAATGGAGTCTGAGCTTTGTGTCCAGCAGCTGGAGCAGAAATCTCAACCTCCCCGCCATCGTCGTCATCATCATCGTCGTCGTCGTCGTCGTCCAGCAGTGGGTCAAAGGGAGCACTGCTGGGTAGTTCTTCGGGCTCAGACTCATCACTGGCTGATAGCTCGTCCACATCATCACTGTTCAGCATTTCACTGTGGTCCCCGCCATTTTTCTGATCACACATTTCAACAACAAGAAGACTCAGCGGCTCGCCTAAATCAAAAACCTGGGGAAAGAGAGGAAGAGGTCAAACCTGTGGCCTTCATCAGTCATCACACAGCACAGGGGTGAGAGGCCAATTCTTTTAGTTGTAAGTGGAAAAAAAAAGCTTATTTCTGTGTGTGTGTGTGTGTGTTAACGGCCTAGAAAGTAGTTGTTACAACACCCTCCAATTTTGAATCAAAGGGTTTGGGGGCTTGCTTTGCTTAAGCAACACACCTGTGAGTATCGGAGTTTGTGATAGGCTGCATTAATGTGCAGTGGATACTGAAACAGGAAGCTATTCCTATTCAACTCTGCACACGTTCGATGCTACGCTTCTGGTTTCTTTAACCAAAGACTGGTGTTAGTTGTGTTCTCAGTGTACAGTCATCATAAACAACATATACTGTGAAAAAAAGAAAGACAATTCAAAAGTATAAAGAAGTCCTCTAACAAATCAAGCTTCTACGGCAGGCGGTCCAAACTTTCGTCCGGCAGTGTATATGACCAAAAGTGACCAATATCAGAAGCCCCCATTTACAACAATTTAAATACATTTTAAGAATAGATGTATGTTACAATAATGATATTTTAAAGATGGGTACCTCTCAGGCTGAGTCCTGAAACTCTGAAGAGAATGTGTGCATACTATGTTTGTGCCCCTGTTGTAGCGTCCATGTTGTCTCTGTTGCTCTGCAGACACACTGGTTCTTTATGAAACTCAGGAAGCCAGCTCCCCACACAATCTGTGATTCAAAGCAAGAACATGAAACCATTTCAACAAATGATACACTGAAGAGATCTGAAGACATGTTCCAGCTGAAATAAACTGATTTTAAGTGACAGTTCTCAACATTTACACTCGCATGTTGAGCTAAGTAAAAGACACCAAACCTGTGCACAGCAAGTAGGGACGTCCCAATCAAGATGTTTCTGTTGTTTTTACCATTGATTATCTGCCAATACAGAGTCAGATCATATTCTTGTATTATTAACTTAAACGTAGATTAGACATATATAAACACACACATGTATGTATGTATGCATGCATGTATATACGTATATATATATATATACATACATACATATATATACATACATACATATATATATATACACACATACACATACATACATATATATACA